GAATACTTCTCAAACAAATTGCAAATCTGTAAAGGTAATAATCAATTATACATTTTGGACACTGAAATCATATCTGTTTCAGTCTTCTACATCCCATTCTAGCTGGTACCCTTTTAGACTTGATTATTATTTGAGGTACGTGGTAGACCTCGCTAAAACATGTTTTCAAGCTTTGATGGGTTATAATGTAAGACAATGATAGTGACAGAGAAATCTAGAAGGAAGAAGTTAGTCACAGTGAAGTGACAGTGACTGAGAAAAGGATAATGAATGTGACAGTGATAGTAATAGTAAGAGAACTGTAACGGTGAAACTATCAAAGACAGTGACAAAAACACATGACAGTAACAGTAACAAAGGCAGACACTAAAAAAGTGACATGAACAGTGACAGTGACACTAACATTAACAGCGACATTGATAGTAACAGTGATAGTGCCATCGGCTGTGAAAGAGACAGAGACAGTCATAACGAATTTACAGAGACAGTGAAAGAGACTGGCCTAGGGACAGTAGCAATGACAGCGTCAATCACAGAAACGGTGACAGGGACAGAAACCGAAAAAGAGGTTGTTACAGGGACAATTACAAAGTAGTGAAGCAAAAGAGACAGAGACTAAGATACGAATATTCAAATTGACGGTGACTATGATGGTGACACTGATAATGCAGGATGTCAATAATGATACAGCCCCTGCAAACATAATAAATCTATTTCAGAAACGTCTAATATTCATTCATACAATACACGATCGTCTAAGTCTGGAAAGTTTTACGTTAAAAGTTCGGGACTAGAAATACAAAACAATTCCTTCTCTCGGATTGGAGTAATAAAGCTGTGGAATAAGATACCAATCTGTACAAAGGATCTCCTAAAGAAAGCGTTCAAAAAAGTCTTTCGGAAATTGCTATTTGATATCTTAGAAAAAGAAGATAACTATAATCAAATCCCCATGATCATTAAAAACGTAGGTACATAGGTACACGTTGTAAGTTTAAATGTGTCCTTATTTTTTTCCTCTGCGACTCTGTGACTGTGTGTGACTGTGTAAATAACGACTCCTTGTTCTTAAATACTAGACGATTTATATTATTCAGGTAGTTGTCTTGCCCCGCCACGATTAGCTTTCTTGCTATTTGCGGGGAAAACTTTCCCACTTTTATTTTATGTTATATACTGAACTTAAGGAATTTGAGACTTTTCAAATCTCAGTTAACTAAATAAAGTTGTTGTTGTTTGTTGTTGTTGTTGTTATTGTTAGTGAGAGCAACACTGACAACGAGATACCCATGGAAAGAACTAGTTACAGTGACCTCTGTGACAGAGAGAATGAAAAGTGACTCTGTTAATAACAGTGTGAGAAACAGGAGTGTATAAAAAGAGAGGGTATAAGAAATAAAAAGCAAGCTTTTAAGCCGGACAATCGGTGAAGGGGAACAGACTAAGGTGAAGCCCGAAAATATTTCAGGTAGTGGCAAAGACAAGGACTTCAAGGCGTTTTCGGGTTAGTTTGAGGTACGTAGGAGTGTGAGGATGAATGGCTG